TTTGTAGGAAATATAGATGTAGGAATTAAAGCCATCTCCTCCCACTCTTTTGTATGTTTCCTGCAGAGAAGAAGGAAAAAAAAATACTATTTAATGGTGTTAATTAATATAAATAAAATGCAAAGACTGCAAAGCCCGGTCAGCTGCAGATAGCTGTGATCCCAAATTAGTTTCCAGTGGGCTCCAGACACAAAGCAGAGAGCTACTAAGTGCATGTTTTATTACTTATATCAATTACTAGCTTAATTAACTTTGTTTGACAAACCAGGGTGGAGAAAGTGAAAGTAAACAACAAGGGAAAGTCAGCTCCATCAGCTCCTTGGTGAAGAGATCCCGAAGAGGCACAACTCCCAGGGAGATATGTTTGAGCTTTATGCCCTCAATTCCTCACTTTTTGGATAATTCTTCAGTGCTCTTTTTGAGGAAAAAGGAAAAGGAACAAAATATGGTGGGCTGGAGGTAAAAATTCTTATTCCTTCTTGCAGAAGTGTCCAAGACATCAATCTCACAGGCTTCATTTCCTGCACATAGTTTCCCTCTCTGCCCCCTTCTTGCCTGGTGGGCAGATTGATGGATGCTCTGCACAGTCCTGTCCGATTTGGCATTTTATCCCAGCTGCAGGTGAACAGTTTTCAGCTTTTATCTGCATCGTGTATAGTCTTAGACTGCTAATTATAGCTCACCATTTCCACCTCAACAAGCAAGATTCACTCAATTAAAACTGCACAGAGCACCTGGTGTTCAGCTGGTATAAAAATACCACCCTTCCTCAGTCTCCAGGTGAGAGGCAGTCATCGTGCTCCTCTGAGGAACAGCCTTACAGCAGGATCTGCCTCTGCCCATCCCAGGTAATTTGCCATTGCCCAAATATAATGCCTTCATTGATACAATTATAGATCTCTCCCTTTTCTTCACCCAGCTACAAGGAATGAACTTACTTAAATCAATGCATCACACAAACAATTTATTCTGTGGTGCCTGCTCTGGAGGTCTGGGAGAGACCAGCTCCAGCTGACCCTAACTGAGCTTTGATTAACTGTTCCTTTGACTTTATTGTTTGGTTTCACATTTAGTGTCCTTAGTTCTGACAACCTGTTTTTTGCTGTTTTTGTTTGTTTGTTAATTTCTGTTCAAATATCGATTTCCATTTTTGTGTTGTTCCTAGGTGCCTTTTAATACCAACCTTATGTTTGGCCGTAGGGAGTAACTTGTGTCTGATCAAGTATTTCTGTGTCAGCAGTCACTGGAAATACATATGCTAGAATGATGCCCTCTAAGTCCCTCCAACACCTATACAGAATAGCCTCAAATAGTGAAGTTGTCATTCCTGCTAGCTTAATCTGTGCTCCCCACTCTAAATTGAGACATCTCACCCTCTCCCGCTTCTCCGCATCATCTCCTTTTGTATCGCCGTCATCTCCACATTTAAGATATGCAGAGCCTTCTGAGAGGCCTGGCCCTGATGAAATCTCCCTGTTGATTTTAATATTGAGTAAGGGTGGTCCTAAATGGGACCCCATTTCCAAAGCCCAAAACTCACCGTGCTCTGATAACCCACCTGCTGGCTGATGCATTTGAGAGCTACCTGAAAACATCACCTGCTCAAACTCTCTTAGTACATGGAAACAACTTGAATGAAATGCCAGCAGACAGGGCACATAGAGCATCCCACTCACCTCACGGAGCATTGTAGTGGGTTTATGTGACAAGGTTTTGGTAGCACCTCAGCTCAGATGCAAACCTTGCTCCATCTCTGCAGTGTGAGAGTCCTTGGATTTGAACGTAAACAAGAAACAACTAAAACCCTTGCAGGGAAAGTTAATAGGCTCACCAAGTTTAGAACTGCACTACTTTATAAAATCAAAGCATGTAATGATTTTAAAATTGTAATTAAAAATTATAGCACCAAAAATACTGTAGAGATGAGCCCTGGTCCCTCAGAGAAGCACAGCATTTCCCCAGAGAGGGGTGGAGATTAGAAAACACATTTCACATGAAGGCTTTTAATATAATTATTTGCATAACTGGATTAAAGAAGTGCACCAATGTGCCTCTAAATCTTATTATTGTTTATTACTCTGGATATCAGAGAAAAGAGTAATTACATTTAGCAGAGATTGCTGGGGCTAGGTTCAGAAGAAGAGCTGCGCAAGAGCAGCAGTGCCTCAGTCCCCTGCTGGGATGGGATGGGACGGGATGGGATGCCCAGCCTCATAGTCCCAACCAGAATTCCCCTGGGCCACATGTGAGGAAAGCCTGCAAAATGGCTTTGTGGCACCCCAGGACTGAGGGAACAATCACTGTGGTGGCCACGGGACTTCTGAGGAGAGAGAAGGAGTCTCAGTACCCAATACCAAGACAATTTTGGGGTGTATTTGCATCACCTACTCCTGCAGGTGACAGTCTAAATGCAGTGTTAGCAGCAAAGCCCCAAGTGCAGATGCAAGCTCTGGCACATTGAAGTCATGGGCACATTACTGCTGTGCTAACAAGAGGGTGCCCATGGTGCTGGGCACTCCCAAGTCCCGCCTTGAGATGCTGCCCTTGGTGCTGCTGTGACCACAGCTCCAGAGAGTGGTGGTAGAGAGATGCCCCTGGCACTTCCATCACTGTGGGAACAAGATATGCACCAAACAATGGCTCATTTCTGTCTTAAGGGAAAGAGAAAAAAAGAAAAAAAAAAAGGCAGAGAAATCCAAGCTTGTTTGCTTCATACAGCTCTTTGCATCTGCCATCTGCAGGCACTGCCACACAAGAGAACGTTAATAACCAAACTGCAGTGCCTGCAAATGAGGGTAAAAACATGGTGTGTAGGAAGGAAATGATGCCAGGCCTGCTGTGGTTAACAAGAGTCTTTCTAGTTACTCCACTGGGCTTTGGATCACTCCGTATTAAAGTGCCGTCTGTATTTAGTGCATGGGGTTGTAAACATTATGGGCCATCTCAGTGCTAATTAGCCTTTACAAATTGACAAATTAAGAGCTTGAAGTAGCACAATTCCCTAGAAGAAAAATCTCTAAAACTCAGGATTATGTTGCTAGTTCCAGCTACTTTCATCAGTGTTGTTTCAGTGCTCGTTCTTGATGCTCTGCTTTCTGCTCTGTTCTAAAGAGCCCTGAAACAGAAGCTGAAAAGCTTATAAAATCTGGTTGGTTTGTTTGGAAGGTTTTTTGCCTTTTCAAAATCTCCAGGTTATTTCATATATTGAGCTTGATGGAAAACAATTTCCTAAAATTTAGCGAAAGCATCTTTCAAAAAACCATTCAAATTAAAATCAAGATAAGCAAGGCAGTTGTGCTTAATCACAGAGCGAAAACAAGCAATGTCCACTTTAAAAAGATTTCCTTGACTTAATGTCTCCGTAATGAGCTTCTAATTCAACTCCTCATTACAACAGAACAGCTTGAAATTCTAAGGAAAACTGTGAGATTTGTTAAGAGGGATTTCAAATGTGTTTGCAATGCCTTTCCTAGTGTGTGTATAAAGCATCTGTGTATTTTTTTAACCAGATTAGCTTACTGAATGCTGATGAGCAAAATGATACTCACTGTTTCACAGCAGGAGTACATTCAGAAACTAGAGAGGCCATAAGCTCTTTCTTCCTTCTCCCCCTGGCCCATCTGCACTGCCTTGCAGCACGTACATCTCTGGCCTGGCCAGGTGCAGTAGGATGAACAGGGCTGAAACTGCCCCCAGAAAGAAACTGCTGCTTCTCTGGCTGATCTGGGATGAATATCAAAGAGCTTTTCATGTCGTCAAGTGTTCTGGCTGGAAGAAACCTCTTCAGCACAAATGTCTGCTGTCAGGACATTTTCCCCTACATTTATCTATTACCTATTTTCAGATCAGACAGAGGGGGAAGAGACTGGAAGTCATTAGGTTGATTATAGCTTTTACCTCCCTCATTCTATCGAAAGGTGAATGCCAAAGAAAAACATTTCTTCCCCAAAACTCCAAAAGAGAGCACTTGCCACCCCACACTTGACAGCCTTTCTTTTACTGGTCAGGCAGTGCTCACACACAGCTCCACAGCAGCAGCCCCGACCACCCGCTGTCTCCTGACACACCCAGAAGTGCTCCTGAAGGCAGTATCAAAGTCTCTGACTGTCTCTGGAGATCAAAGCTGATGGCAGCATTACCACACATCAAGATCAGCTCTGAAGGAATGAACAGAAAGGTTTTTGGCACTGACATGACTACGATGAACTCCGCTCTGTTAGCTGGGATCGTGGTCACCTGGATGGAGGGTCAGCGAGCTGGGGTTAGGAGAGGCAATGGCAAGAGCATCGTCCCATGTCCCAGTTGGTGGCCGTCTGTGAAGTGGTCCCATGGCTGCAGAGCCCTCATCCACACGTGGCTCACCAAGCTCACAAACCTTGTGCAGAGGTATTTGAGAGGGTGCAAGTGAGCTGATGCCATCGCCCCGCACATCACTGACACCACTGGGAAGGGGAAAGCCCTGCACAGGTAGGGCAAAGCTTGAAGCAGCCCCCAGCAGCCTTGCTTCCTGCCTGCAGCTGAGCCAGCTCCATGGGAAGGGCACTTCAAACAGCCTGAGGCTGTTCTTCGTCATGGCACTAACCAAGGGGGGCTACAGGAATATTGCCAGTCCTCTACCCTGCATTGTGTGCTAGGGACTGGACTCTGGATAGGTGCACAGATTTAATTTTTACTCAGCCCAAAGCACTTCCTCCCTGAGGTATCCAGGTATTTTATTCATCCTTGCTTCTCCCTGTCCCCAGATCTATGCTGCCAGCAATATCTAAAACAGATAGGAAGGATCCTTGTAGTTTACATAAGGAGATCTGTCTGTGCTAAGAACTCCTTGGCCTTTAACTCCTGTCACAGAGATAAGATATTTTGGGGACTTGACCTCTGCCTCTCCTTCTCCAGTGGGGATTTATTTGGTGGGGAAGCCACCTGGGGAACTCCTGCTATGACTGAGCCTTGAGGACAAACATCAGGAACCAGGACTGATTAAAAGTGGAAACGACTTACAGTGTTACTGCTCAAAGGAAGCGCACTCCCACCAGCTCTCGTGTTTACAGCACCACGCTGGCCATAATGCAGTTTGTAGTGGGTCCAATTTTCTTCTTTCTCCAGGCAAACATTTTCTTCAGCTCCCCCCTGAAGCTGTCATGGAGCCAGGCATAGAGGAAGGCATTGGTACAAGCAGACATCATTGCAAACCAGTGGCAGAGCAGCTGGATGAAATTGAAGTACTGCTTGTCAATTAAGCTGATGTCTATGTCCTTGATCATGTTGAAGATGTGCAGAGGCAGCCAGCAGACTCCAAAGGCTGCCACCACTAAGACAAGCAAGCGAAAAGTCTTTCTCCTCCTTGCTCGGTCCCACTCAGCCTGGCCCTGGGTGACATTGCCTGGGACCACGCGGTTCTTCAGCTTGACTGAGATCCTCAGGTAGGACAGGGAGATGACGGCCAAGGGCAACACGTAGGTGATGATGAGAGTGCTGTAGGCGTAAGCCAAGCGGTCTCTTTTCATGTGGAACCAAAACTCCTCGCAGATGGAGAAGTCCAGCTCTGGGAATTCTGCGTGGTAAGTGTGGACCAGGGCTGGGGCAGCCAAGGTGCAGCTCAGCAGCCAAATAGCAGCCAGGATGTACGCACAGATTGGGATGGTGAGCCTCCTCCGGAAGGGGTGTACCATGGCGTAGTACCTATCCACAGCTATGACAGTCAAGGTGAAGACAGACACGAACACGGTGACAGGCTGCATCAGGAAAACGAAGTAGCACATGAAACGCCCGTACACCCATCCTCTGGGCTCAAAGGCATATGCGAGTGTCAGGGGCACGCAGGTTGCACACATGAGCATGTCGGAGAAAGCCAGATTGCCCACCAGAAAGTTGGTCACATTGTGCATTTTTTTGGTTTTGCAGATGACATAAATGAGAAGGTAATTCCCAATGACACCGATAAAAACCACTAGGGAGTAGCAGGGGATGATGAGTGGCTTGAAGGACTGAACAAACTGGAGCCCTGAGAATAAATTGCTGGCATTGCTATGAATTGCAGAGAGGAAGCTTCGGGAGGTTAAATTGTCCGAATTCATCATTTCCCTCCTTTTGTCGTCTGCCGTCAGCTGAGTGAAGTAGTTACCACTGCACTACTCTCGCACTCAATCAGTCTGGATAATGAATGGATTACTGGCTGTCCAGAGGTTGCCACATGGGTAGTAAACAAGCATCTGTAAAAGCAAAAGGTGAAGTTGTAATCCTCGAGAGGCAGCTTTCAGCAATTCCTAAGAAAAATCAAATACAGCCAATTTCCATTAAAGTCCTCCTGTATTTACTATTAAATCTAGGTCTTGACAGCATGCCACTTAATAAACATTTAATGCAGGGAGTACTTACTGCTGTGTTTTTTTAATCCCATATGATTTTCCTGTGGATGCCAAGAAGTGCCCTAGATGTCTGGCTTCTGCAAATCCAGGAGCGTGTGTGTGTGTCAGAGAGAGAGAGAGAGAGAGAATATATGAGTGAGAAAGAGGGTGATGCGCATTTACAAGCTAAGTGGAGATCAGTGTTTTTAAACAGTCTTCACTACTAGGTCATGACAGATTTGTGTATAAGCTTTTATCCCTATTGGCTGCCCTGGGTATTACGTTGCTCTTTGCGTGTCTCTTACTGATAGTAATTAGTTCTTGAATATCCTTTCAAGAATTCCCTTCCTTTTCCAATGCATTTGTAATTGCCCCTCTCAGCTGAAAATCAATTTACATTCATTAACACAAACCTGCACAGTGTCTAATCCTAGATCCACTTTGCCACGATCCTCACAGTGTCCAAAAAAGCTACCTGTGAATTTGCTGCTATAATGTGACCGTAAAATGGAATTTTAATAAGATGCTGAAGCCAAATAAATGTTTATACCACTAGAGGGACTCAGCTACGTACCTGGTGAATGAAGTTATGGTCAGAAAGGTGCACGTAACACAAAGGATCTTCTTTCCTGATGCTGGTAAAATGTTTGCTCACCCATTGTGAGTATTTTCAGTGGAGTTTACATATCCTTAACAGTAAAAACATACAAAGATCTCAAGGGAAATATTAACATACAAATGGCTTATCTGTAAGGGCTCAACTGAATTACAGAAAATGGTTACTAACACTGCAGCTGCTCAAATATATTTGGGGTGTTTCTTTACTCCTGCAGTATATTTGTAGTCAATAAAACCTCCATACCAGACAAGTGCTAACCATTCTGTAAAACAGTGAATATTTAATTTCTGTGGTTGAGGCATTAGAAAGCAAAAAATGAGGATAGGCACACAGAGAACCAACATTTAAGCAGACATCAACATCAGACTTTTACTTGTTGCCCTAGTTCTCCTTTAACTTCCCACCATTTGAACCACTTTGGACCTTTGTTGGTAAAAAAAAAAAAAAAAGAGAGAGAGAGAGAGAGAGAGAGAGAAAAGGAACAGCCTAACAGCTTCTTTCTTCAAAGCAGAGAACATTGCAAGGCACTCAGGGGATTTAGACACAACTTCAATGGGCAGTTTATGTCCTAATCTCTTAGACTACTCTAAGAAAATATTGACCTGCTCTTTCCTATAAGGCTATCCATCTCTTGATTTGATGGGAACTGTGACTGACAATAAATAAATAAATAAATAATTCATAATTCTTTCCCTCATCTTAAATCAGGAGTTAATCTTCTGTAGCCTTTGTTCAGACCCAAGACGTTCTCCCACAAATACACATGATGGATGCATTTCAAACCTAGTAAGTGCTGATTTTGTGCCACTGCATTTACGGTTATTTTATGCTGTGGACTGGAATATGGCCATACTTCTAGCCCAAGGGAAGAGCAAGAGTGTAACTGAGGTGCTCAGAAGTGCCATCCTTCACTTTATGGACATAGTAACCTACCCATGACCCATACAAAAAATGGGATGTTATATCCCTCTTCAGAGTCCAATCTCACATATCTGATCTGGAGGGGACCCAGAGGAATATAGCACCCGTTTATCTCTATATACCCTAACACAGAACAGCAGAGAGACCTGAGGGTAGTGATTGCAAAGAGGTGATGAAAAAGGAGATTCCCACTGTTTTCACCATCCCATGCAACCATTATATTTGCTTGTAAGCAGAATGCCACAAAAGTATTTCTTAACACTCATAAGTACATTTGGTTTACTTACTGTGGGAGAAAACTGATGTAAATCCTACTGAGGTCAAGATGAACCTTTTATCTGATTTCAGCGGGCTTTGGACCTGGTCTCTTGTATAAGCCAAAGAGGAAAAATGAACAGAGAGCACTTGTAAATAGCCTGCATACTGCCCACATCCTACTGGAATGTTAATGCTTATGATAGGAAAGAAGTCTTGCAATAATATCAGTGCCCACATAATATTTGAAAATCGCATTTTAAACTAAGTAATCTTCCTGTTTCGTTCTGAAAAGCTGTAGAGTAGATCCAATGAATATCCTTATTATATTCCTATGTGAAAAAGGTTTATGCTTTGCTATATGAGAATAAAAATCAAACAAAATATCATCTAAAGTAGCTCCCAAGGTCACCTTAATATTGAAGTCACAGAAACTTGTACACAAGCTTAGAAGTTCCTTTATTTCAAGCTGTATCAAGCAGTTTTCCTGCATTTTCTCTAATCTTTACAAGTATTTTCTTCACTTCTGAAGCCAGGAACTGGTACACCTTCTGTCTGAATGTTTCCACCCTGTTTCTGTTAGTGATTTTCTACTTGATTTTGCTCCAGGCAGAAAATTTCTTCAGTTCAGCTGTATTCTAAAGCCAAGACATGGAAAGAGAATATTTACTTGGGTCTTGAATAGAAAAAGTATTTCAGCATTTTAGCCCAAATAAATCCTCTTTTTTCCTTTTAAAATTGCAAATATTAATCTTGTCTGAAATTTCCAAGATTAGATGACAAAGTCCTCCGTGAACTGAGCATAAGTCTATTTCACGCATAGAATCTTCTTATTTAAAGAGAAAAGGTCACAGAAACTGCATTAGTGTCTTATTAGAACTGTTTTGACATTCCAAGTGTATAAATGTGTCACACATAGGAATGCTGGTTAGCGTCTAATTGAAAGCCCCATCTTCCTTGCGTCAATGTAAAATGTGATATTTAGAGCCAGACCAACACTTCACAGAACCGTTTCACAGCTGAGCTTTCCTAATCTCTTATGCTAACCTGTCCAGCTCTGCACAGGCATTGTGAGCAGAAACATTGTTAGCTGTTCTGTGACTTTCGTAAAGTGGTAAACCTCTTAAAGCACTAATGCTGTTATGTACATGCATGTCTAATCATCCCTTCAGGTAAGGGTTAAGGGTTTTGTTTGAGTGGCTTGGAGGTTTGGGGTTGTTTTTCTCAAATTCAGGATGCCAAACTTTAAGAAAGTCAGGCAACAGCTAAAACAAATCAGTTAAATTGAAGAGCTTAACAACTTGAATGAAATGAGGACCTGAATTAAAGTCAAAATGTGCTTGAAGGTGCACATTGAGTAAAGAAAAGGGCTTCCGCTCTTGACCTAAGAAGAAAGGATACAGAATAGGGTACTAAAGGAAGCCCTTGCCATGTTAGCCTTCCATCTATGAGCTACTACACTGATATTTATTTATTTATTTATTTATTTGACTTAGGATCTGTAGCAGTTCTTCTCCATTTCAGCTTGCACAACTCATATGATGTGGTGGCATATGAGGAACTGTCAGCTATACCAGAAGAAATGAAAAGTCTCCTAAGACCTGTGAGGTTGGCAAATGGTTGCAACATTGATGAAGGAATTGTGCCAGAAGTCTGCAACCATTCATGCTCCTTAAGAACTTTGCTTGGTGTTGGCAGCCCTGGGAGTTCTGCTCATTTGATTCTGTTAGCACAAAAGGCAGGCTAGCATCACCAAGTTTGGAACCAAAGGTGATGGGGAGGATGACTGTAATATTACACAGAGAAACTATGAAAACTGACAGGTCAATGGAAAGAAGAAAGTTTGATAGCATTACAGAGGAAAAAATTATCATAAAAGTAAGAATCAGGGTCGTCTCATAATAAGCATTGTCACCATGGTTTAGAATGGAGTAAATTCTGCTGCAGGCCTAAACAAAGGAGCAGGCAATCAATTTGAAAGTGCAAGGAAGAAAAAAAAAAAAAAAGCTTGTAACTTTGTGACAGACTACAAGGTGAATTTGCCTCTAGTTTGCAGCAATCTCTGGGCAATTTTCCTGCTCCTTCCTCTATTCACCAGAGCAGAATTATGTTGCATTATTTAAAAACACCAAGGAGAATGGTAAACTCCAGGGCCAGTAAAGAGGGTTTTAAGGAACAATATGGGTGTAAGAATAAATTCACCATGAACAAATTTAGGATGGAAAGTAGAACACTTCTAAGTGGGAGGGCAACAAATTGCCCTTTGGAACCTCTGGCTTTGGGAACAATTCATGTACTATGGGGAATAAAACACCTGCTTTTAACAAAAAGCTTGATCCATTAATCACATGCATGCGGTATAATTGTTTGCACAGGGATTGGGTTTCAGGAGATTCCTTTCCAGCACACATCAATACAGTTTTAGACTTTGGACTTCACTTACTCCTACTTGAAAATAACACCACTTACAGTATTTCCATTCATAATGTCAAAAAGATAAAATTAAAATTTATACACAAGCACACCCACACATATGGGCACAACAAAGACTAAATCCTAAAACATTTCTAGTGTTTTTTTGTTTTGTTTTGTTTTGTTTTTGTGGTTGTTTGATGAGAAGATTTGTGCACTAGTGCCTATGCAGCTCAACCAGAACAGCACTTGAACATTTGCCAGATGAACTTTCACTGTTACTGATCTTGGCACCTGTTCAGAGCAGCCGATCTACAAAGTAAGAAGGGCAGGGTCAGCAGAGTAACTCTATAGAAACATTTCAGCCCCAAGGTATTTCAGTCAGTACAATTGCTGACTCTTCTTTCTCTGCTCTTGTCTTGTAAAAACCCTACTGAAATAAAGCTTTATCCTGTTAGCATCCTTACTACAGTAAGAGACGGTCTCTGTCTTCAGAGTTCCCATAGACAGGATATGCAACACTAAAAAAGAACTGGCACATTTTTTTTTAGAAATATCAGAGCTAGAGATTTTTTTTATCCATTTATAACTATGATTTTAGGCAA